TAGGGGTGTGAAGTTATTGTTATTTTGAAAATAACTCTGACTGGTATTTTATGACTTGTGAATGTAATGAAATATATTATATACCAACAGAAAGAGGACAAAATTCTAAGCAGCAGGAGACAGTTAAATATGAACTATGTAAAGTTTTCGAGAAATGCCAGAGAGAGTTATTTTGAAAAATAACAATAACTTCTCACCTCTATGCACAAGTGATATAACAAACACAACAAACAAATCAGAAGATATTGCCGAGAAAAGGTATATTGTACATGGGTTACGACGTAATTTTAGTCGAGTAAAGACAAACACATTAAAGATCAGTCCAACTATATCTGATACATAGTTGGTGAAAGATATTCTCAGTAGAATATTTGTTAATACTGCACTTAATTGACTATTCGTACTGTTATTGACCCACATGGAATTAATGTAAAAATGACCTCTTCAATATGTGTATGTGCAATCACAATCTAATCAATAGAAGAACATTAATCATTCCTATTTATTTCTTACATTGAAAACGTTTCTACAATTTTGTTGTAACAGCTGCAATGAAAATGTTGGATTTGATACTCTATTTTTTCTTCATTAATACATTTAATCATCTTTCGGGGTCATTCTCTCTATAATTAATTGTAGTGTCGATAATTTCAAAGATGAACATGCCTTTACAGTCAAAAGCAGTTTCCTTTTATTCGGTATTATAGAAGTTCATCACGTTTTAAAAAAAAACAATTCGTGACGTAATCTGAGAGGTTCTTATTAGCGTTGACTAGCAATTAATTTTAATAGTGATGAAAATAGAATATCTGTAGAACAATTATGCATTTACTAATACTTCGACGATATTTTCCGTAGTATTGCAACTACATGTAATAATCGTGTTTTTCCTTCCATTGAAAATCTATTATCACGTAAATTAAGTTGTTGTAGCTTTTGATTATTGTTCATCATTCTATCCAAAGCATTAATACATTAATCATCTAATTTCTAGGTAAACTACGAATTTAAAGTGGTGACGCTAGGAGTGGGCTCAGCTCACCCGGAACTTAGTTGAGCCCAGCCTGAAAAGTTTTTAGTCTTTATATTTTTTAAGATTCGTTTCTCTCTCTACTGAAAAGAGGGTCTATATACGCCGAGCTAGTAATGTCCGTTCGTTCGTTCGTTACAGAACGAAAGAAAAGAAAGACTAGAAGTCTTAATAATGAACACTACTTTCCAATGTTTTTTGGAACTCAGCTACTGATCAACGACCTATCTTCGAAGCTAAAGTGCTATCCAATCAGATTTTGAGAAGTGGATTTTCAGTCAATGATATGTTTTCTCTGTCTGGTTCTCTAGCAATAATATTAATGATCAGAAGAATACTTCAGGAAAGATAAGTATGGATGACGAACCTAAATCGAAACTTAGTAACTTTCTAGTCATTTCTGAGAATATTGGTACTGTATAGCGTTAATTTCAATCAATTTGATGTACTAAATACTGTGCCATGAGTCATTCATATAGAAAGACTTGAAACAAATTCATTCTGTACGCACAGCATGAAATCTGAAGGGATTCTCTGCAGACTTTCTAGTCGAATGACTCAAACATCTTGAGTTTAAGAAAAGAAAAGAAAAGAAATATTCAACATGAATTTTTTTAGAAAAATTATTATGAAAACATTTCAGTACAGAACTATCTTTTTAATTACCAAAAGTCTGTTTGTCCAAGATGATTTGACACCCATTCCACAGCGCCATTTCGTTCAGTTATTTTTCTTTTTGCTTTTGTAAATACATGCTGTCATTCTAATATAATAATTATTTGAGTAATATGCTTCGCGACTAAAACAAGAACCATTTATTGTTTGTTTACGTTAACTATATGTATATGAAACTTTCAACTTGTAATCTCATTCTGCTTCTGTAAAAGCTTTCAGCTGTTTATCAATAGTTGATGATTGAATGAAACTTCAAGAAGTTTATTGCTGCATCTATGAACTTTTATTTCTTTTTGAATTTTGTCTTCTCTAATGATATGTATAAAGACACTCAGCCATGCGTGGGAATACACCGAATGTAATGTAAAATACATTTTATTATTATTAAACAAAGCCAAATAAACTTGAGATTTTTGAAAAGCTTATGGAAATACTCGAAGGGATAGTATGTACAATAGATAGGGCGTCTAAGGTATATTTACCAGACAAGACATTACGTTGTTTTTGCTTATCTTTATTAGCATCTGACATCTAGAAGGTTCAGAAGAAGGGAAACAAGAAAAAAAAAACATGGTGAATATGTATTGGTAGAGAATTTCGTTCTCTGTCAGAACGTATAAGAGCTTATTAGATGTTCATATCTTTTTCTATAGTTAAATGCCAAATACCGTTCTGATTGGGTCATACAGTCAAAAGTAATGAGTTGTTCAGTCTTACGAAGTTATAGTCTCTACAATGGCAGCAGTGAGATTTTTTACAAAATATGTAAACTAATGTGTTCTTTCTGATGACACCATTTTTAACTTGAAATGTGATGTCTACTAAAGTGTGTTCACTCTAACCACTATACCTGAGAGTCAATTTGTGTCCTTTTTGACTTATATTCGACAGCTTTCAAATAGATTAATTTCCGTTTGACTTCAAACTAATATCATATTTGAAATTAGCATAAAAATCTGAGTCGACTGATATATATTTCACATTGTTTCCACGACTTTCTCTTTTCAGTAAAATTTTGCTCTCCTGGTTCCAGCGACTCAGCTTTTTGTACTGATTCCAAATATGATATTCGTTTTAAGTCAAATGGGAATTATTTTCTTCGAAAACTGTCGAATATATGTAAAAACGGATACAAATCAGCTTTCAAGTATAGCAGTTAGAGCGAAAGCACTTTAACTAGATATTGAGTTCAACAATAATTTTATAAGATTGAATAAAATGAACTTTCAGGTCAAAAACGGGCTTTTAATGCTTTCAGAGAGTGCCTCAGATCTTTACTAGAGAAGGACTCAATATGTGAAAAACAATCAGGATTCAATGTTGATTCTCAGACTAATAAACTTAGGACTGGAGATTTTGGGACACGAGGTACGTAATTTGACACACTTCCTTTCTGGTTGACTGGTAATGTAACTTACCGGTTACGGTAAGGTGCCTCTCCTAATCGATGTGGAAGTCAAGGATGATTCTTCGACGATACTACCCTAAACATATTTGCTGTAATCTTGATTTTCTCTAAGTTAAAGCTTTGAAGTGTCGCACTGTAAATTTAACTTTTAAATTGATGTTGAAGTGCCATATCCACTTCAGACCAAACAACTCATAAGGCCGATTGAAAGACTTTTGCTAAAGTTGACTGAAGTTTAAGGAAGGTGAGCGAAAAAACAATAAAAAGCTGAAATTCAGCCGATGATAGAAAATTTTCATGATTCACAAAGGAGTTATGCGCCCCATTTTCATCCCACCCCCCTAATCAAAATTCCCTGATGGCGATTTTATGTTTGTTAAAGATTACCGTTCTATATAAAATAGTAATGATCTCCTTTCCGTTAGCTAACGCCATCATTCGAAAACTGAGTTCATGCACGATCATTTTCGATTGATGCATTAGTCATATCCAATAGAATATGATATATAAACTAAGTAGCAATATATGCACTCTATTCAATGTAAAATATATCAAACTTCTACATCATTTTTCAGATGGAAAACGATTTTATTGAAGAACCTGTGTTAGTTGATGATGACGAAGAAGAAGTAGAAAACTTCTATTCTATTTCAAACGCTTGCATTTACTTTCTCTTTTTCTAGCAATCACTTAGTCATACAAAGAAACATAAACATGATAAATTAATTGATTCAATTGTTCATTTAGATGGTAAAAAACGGTGAGATTATATTGTTTATTCTTTTGTTTTCTCTTTCATAACAAACGAACATTAATTATTCTAAATAGAAAAGTAACAATTCGTAAAGAACCAATTAGTACTCCTAATAATCTTATTGCATCAACACAAACATGTAAGTTATAATAAACGAATATGATTTTTCATTTAATTCATATTTATAAATTAACTAGCAACATCATCAAAAAAGATTAAAAGTCATCAATTATTATCGAGTTTGAAAAAGACTTCATCATTACAAATTCAAACATTAAAAAAACAATTAGCAAAAGTTAATAAACATCAAGCTGTACTTCAACAACCATTACAAAAACCACAAGCAGAAAAAGTTTTATTTCATTATGAAATTTCTTTTTATTCGAAACTTTTTTTTTCTGGTTTTCTTCTTAGGCTGAACGTATAGCTGCTTATAATCAAGAAAAGAAATCACTTACTAAATGGGATCCTGTTGTCGAAAAAAATCGAACTGTAAATAAATGTTTTTCTTCTTTTTCTATTTGTATTTAATTTAATTCTAACTAAATGTAGGCAGAAACATTAAATTTTCCACTTCAAAATGGTGGTGTTCAATTTCAAACAACACAAGAATTTGTTGGAAAATTTCAAGTAAATTAAAATCTTTGTCAAAATCTTTCTTTGTATTTTTCTTTTATTTTGTAGACATTAAGTTCATTAGAAAAAGATATAGCAGCTATATTACAATCAAGTAATAATAATATTCAACCGAATTCATTACTTACACAAGCTGAAAAGAAAATTATTAGTAAAATGGACTTACTTGAAGTAAAATTTAATTGAATGAAAAAAAAAAATCAAACGAAGTTACAAAAAAAAACTTCTTTTTTTCTTTAAGGCTAAACAAAAATTGAATGAATTAAAAAAAATGCGTGCTCTTATTTCATATCAACAAGCAAAGTTTAAACGTGTACGAAAAATTAAGAGTAAAAAGTAAGTTGAAATACGAACGAGTATGCATACTATGAAAGATCTCTAATAAAAGTCTCTCATTTCATCAATGAATATCATTGAAATCTTATTGAAACGATGTTCTATGTCTCGAAATCAGAGATGAGAAAGATTTTTCTTTAACTTTCTCACTGCGTGTTCGTTCTGTAGTTTCTTTTAAAAGTACGATAGGAGATTTGTTTTTTTTTACAGCATATTTTTCTTTACAATAGAAGGCGTTCTCTGTAACTAATTAAAATCTCATCAATATATGCCAAATCAAATTATAAAACTGTTAGCATATTAGAATAGTCATTCGCATGTTAAGCTAGACGTCAATATACTGTAGTAGAAAAGTTTGTGGTCTTGAATGAATGACTATCTAAATTCTATAATATCAACTTTTGATAACACTGCACAAGAACTAGTTTAGAAGGGATAAAATATAATGCGGACTGTGATTTATGATTTCTTTAAGTATATTCGAAATATTGATTACGAAATTATTAACAGCACAAAGCTTCTAAAATATACGTGGATAAAAAACTTCTTGCATGATCAGATTATACGGATCATTTCAAGCGAAATAGGACATGCACACCTTTCATTTAACTTGAATTCTTTACATAGATTATTTTTCTGAATAAGTTCTTTTAGTATAAATGAATGTAAAAATATATTCTTTTGTACTCTGTCATGCTCAGAACAATTTGGATAGAGGTTTTGTAGCCTCATGAGTTGTCTACAGAATGTACTATCTTATAGATTATTTCAACTCATTTGTTTTTTTCTTGAATAGATTTCGTCGTCTAGTTCGAAAAGATCGTCAAAAACAAGAAGAAAAAAATTTAGAAAAATTATCTGTTGAACATCCTGATCAATTTCTTGAACGATTAGAACAACTTGAGCGACATCGTATCGAAGAACGTTCAACACTACGACATAAAAATTCAACAAAATGGGCCAAAGAAAAACGATTATTATCAAAATTTAATACAAAAGTAATACAGCATACTTTCATTTAGTGAATTATTTATTTAATTTATTTTTCTTCATTTTCAGGTACGAGAAGATGTTGAAGAACAATTAAAACTTGGTAAACAATTAAGTACAAAACAAGCTCAAGCTGAAAGTGATGACAATGATGATGATGAAGAGGATGAACCATCATCATCAAAACCAACAGTAGAAGTACAAAAAAAGAAATCAACAGAAATTCCTTTAATTCTCGCTCCATCTCAAATCGAATCTGAAGCTAATCCATGGCTAACAACAACACATAGTCCAGTTTTACCATCATCTGAATATTCAAAACCAAGTGAAGTTCGAAATGAAGATACTTCATCGTCAGATAGTGACGAAGAAGAAGAAGAAAAAGAAAATCAAACTGATCAAACTCAAAATGAATCATCTGAGAATAATACAAGTTATGGTATAACAATTCCTAAATCTGCAGAACATCTTAATATGCCAGATAGTACGAAACGTATTGAAATTGAACCAAAACAAACTGAACAACATCAAATGAATATTCAAGAAGCATTTGCCGATGATGATGTTCTTGCTGAATTCAACAAAGAAAAAGTAATCAAATGTTTATTATATATATATAGAAATAGGATCTGACCACGGTATTGTGCTAACAGTTTTTTTTTCATGTATATTTAGACAGAAATTATCGATCGCGATCGTCCAAAACCAATTGATTTATCATTACCTGGTTGGGGTGAATGGGCTGGATCGGGTGTACCAGTTAATAAACGAAAAAAGCGAAAGTAAACAACAACAAAAAACAAAAGCTTCAATGTTTATCTTTTTTTTAAAGATTTTTAATTCAGCCAAAACCTGCACCACCTCGACGAGATGTTCATCTTCAACATGTAATAATTAATGAAAAAGCTGATCAGAAAATATCTGAACATCGTGTATGTATTTTCTTATTATTCTTCAAATAACAAAAGAAAACTATTTTCATGTTTTCTATTTACAGGTTAGTGATTTACCATTTCCATTTGCTGATGTTGAACAATTTGAATCATTAATGCAACAACCATTGGGCCGTGAATGGAATCCTGAAACAGCATTTCGTCGTTTAAATCAACCTAAAATACGTTCACGTATTGGTGTACGTATTGAACCATTAAATAAACAAGATGTTTTTCTTAAACGTCATCATTCAAAACAAGATAATTCATCACTTGACTTTAATTTATCAAATGATGATCAAGAAAAATCATCATCAATTATTGAACAGGATTCATTATTCGATAATGATCAAAGTCAAAAGAAAAAATTTAAAAGAAAAAGAAAACAAAATTAAGTTAATAGAAATATAAAAATGTAACATCAATGTTTCGTTTTTTTTTTATTGTTTTGTGTTATTATATCAAATATATATATTTGATGTTGACGCAACATATTGAAAAGTTTTTCTTTTTTTATTCTAAACTTATTTAAAACTAATTTGAACAAATATTATGCTAATAGATAGATTAGGAAATTTTTAAACGGTTGAAAGAAGATAAAAATTAGTTATACCATCGACAAATATATGGCTTATTGTTCATAAGCTGAGTGAAGAACAATACATATTCTATACTAAAAAAAAATATTTCCAAATGTCAAATTGCTCGTGAGTCAAGATTACGCGTACATTATGTAGATCCTAATGTGAGGTTGCATTCTAGCAGAATGCCTTGGTTGCTCGCCCGTCGCTGTCAGAAAAACTGAATTTCGTTAGCAAGAATAGTTTATTATGAAAATTTCAAATCGTTTTGTTTTTTCTATCCTAAGATACGATTTTCAGATGTTTCAATTTTAGAATAGGAGCCATCAAAATTTATGAATCTTTCGTAATAAATCATTCTTGTTAAGACCTGTTAATATGCAAGGTTTTCGCTGGTATTCCTGAGGGAAAAGCTATAACATTATTCTAAAAAAAAACTGTAAAAATGTAATATCGCGGGAGAAATAAGTTAGTAGCAAGAATTTTTTTCACGGTATTCATATTACCTTTAGACTTACAATGATGCACATGGTCTCGATTCAAAAGCAATTTGACACTTGTTCTCTCATAAATGAATGTATGTATGTATATTTTAACATGATGATATTTTCCTATTGTATTTAAATTTGGAATATCTACTAGTTAGACTTTAACCAAGAAAAGTCTAATATAATCATTTTCAAGTCAAGTTCTATGTTGTAGAAAATTTACAACAACAATATATATTCAATTAATAATTGAATTTCTTTTCATAATCATTTTACGATAAGCTATGAATACTAATTTTTCTTATCATATTCAATGTTGCGATGAATTCCAATGATTTTCTTTTTTGATTAGCTTAGATCAAATCAATCTCGTGAAATAAGTTAATAACATACGAAAGAAGAAGAAAACAAACATACTAAACTATATATGTGTACTCGAATGTTACAAGTCATTTTATTCTTGTGAATATTAACTGAGAAACAACGTAATTCGTGTTTGTATATGTTTCATTGTATATCTACGAATTTCGTACTTTGCACTGTTGTTACTGCGCACTTCTCAATAGGAAGTATGTCTTAAGCTTTGGCATCACACACAACGTCGTTTATTCCTTATTAATATTTCGCAGGTGATGATAAGATGGCTAATTTAATTGATTATGACATTCCATGACTCGACTAGACACGTTTTATCTCTTAGTTTAATCTAAGAAAAATTTCGAATTATTTATTGTTTTCATAGTTTTCAATCGTATTTTCGAAGACGACCTATCGATCTTTTACTATGAGAATAAAACTTTCACTTTCTGTATATATCAAGTAGAATTTTACATTTTTTAAATACAGACAAATTAAGTAATAATTATGTTCTATTATTATCTTACATCGCATTTCATTCATTTTTCTCGAAAAACTTCTGCAACATATCTAATGATGTTATCAAATAAAACATCATTGCTCAATCAATTAAGTGAGAAAAATATACATTTTGAAAAATAATCAAATTCTACATTTTCTTTTTGATCGAAGAGAAGTTTATTAATGTCATATCACTATAAAATTTGTGATTCGTACTCAAGCATCTTTTCATACTTTAAAATATTTCTTTTTTGTTTTAAAATAAAGTATTTTTCATTGTTTAGAAATTAGTGAACAATTCAATGTATATGTTTATTTTTCTGTTGTTTAATTATTAATAATGAAAATGAAATACTTCATTTGTAGTGCAAAGAGTACTTCCGTTTGTATTCTCTCGCGAAAGACATTCATTTATAATAAATTATAGGAATATTATATTATGCTTTTAACTTGAATCAACTAGAAAGCATAAAACATTCTATATTAATCTGGTACATACTGAAAATTATTATTACTTACAAATTCGCTGACTTCTCCTTGCCAGAGTCTAATGTATCATAGCGCTCTCTGTATTGACTTCAAGCGTCCTCTACAGATAAATCATAAAGGAAAGCGTTTTTTATTTTTCAGATTTATTTGAGCATTAATTTTAAAAATAAATTAGATATGAATTATTTTTAAAAAGTCAAAAGATCTATTTTTATCCTAGCGCCACAATCATCGGAAATCTTCCTGTAGAATATAACTACAATTAATGTTTATCCATTCATAATATTTAGTTTTAAAAAATCATAGCAAGAATAAAAAATTGACAATTCAAGACAAGAATGCCCTCATCGGGCACTGTTCTTGAGTCTTCAAGTGTATCAATGAGACCGATGGACATGATTCAAACAGTAAGACATGGATCAGTAGGAACTGCAACAATTTGTTCAACTATACCCGATGATCGTGAAATTTTCAAAGTATAGTGTTCTCTAGAACAATAAAATGTTTAATTTCTATATAATATTTCTATATATATATATATTCATTATAGGCATTACATGATTGTATGAAAGATGTAGGAAAATTTCGACAATATACTTATTATCTTGGTACATCGTGTGATACAACAAAATTACGTAATAAAGTTCAAAAATTAAAAGAACGTATTAATCGTAGTTTTTATCATCAACGAGAACTTATAGGGAATGGAGCATCATCAACAGGATTGTTAGTTGAAAAATTTTAATTGATAGTTTTGATATATTTGTTTTTGTAAATTTAGAATCAAGAGTGAATTAGCTATACGTCGTTTTGAGAAATGTTTATGTTTTACATTAGCCGCACTTAATTATTATGAAGATTTACTTCATAAATTTTCTATTCTACTTGTTTATTTTCCCATAGCTACTGGAGGTAAGAAAAAATTTTCTTTTCAATTTTTATTTATACATTCGATGATGAAACTATTTTTAGATCGTACAAATGTTGTTAATTTGGGTTTTGAAGATTCAACTATAAATGCTGATGAAGTTTCATATGAAAATCATGAAAATGAAGAAAATGAAACAAATCGTTATATTGAATTATTGAAGTGAATCAAATATTTATTTCATTGAAACATAAAAAAGAAATTCAATATTTTGTGTTTTTAGTGAAATTCAAGGTGTTCAAACACTACGTGAAGAAATTGAACAAATTGATATTTATCAATTACGACATCATGCAACATCTTATTCAAAAGATTTTGGTTAATATTTGAAAATTTTTATTAAGAAAAAAAAAGATTTGCATTTTCTTTTCTTTTCTTTTCTTTAGTTGAAAATATGCATAAATATACAACAGAATTAGTCACAGAAAATACTATTAGAAGGCCTAAAAAGAGACGTCGTTTAACACGTTGTTATTATTTAAATGAAGACTCTTCATCATCCGTATGTTAATATTATACGTATTATTGTTGTATGTAGATTGTTTTATGTTGTCTATGTTGTTTTTTGTAAGATGGATTTTTTATTGGTTGAGAAATTTTTCTCATAAATTCTTTTTTCTTTTTTAAATTTAGTTTTCAATATGTCATTGTCGGTTTAATCGACGAGAATTTGTTTGTACTTTAACAGTTATATTATCAATATTAATTATTGTCGGTATTATTGTTATTATTATAGCAACAAAAAGAGTACCTACTGGTCAATGAATTTTTTAATGGTCAGATCGTTTTTTTTGACATTTGTTTAAAAAAAGATATTAGAATTGATGAACTTTATATATATATATGTATAGATATCTCGTCAAATGTATTACATTTGTTCAAATTTCTTTTCTGTTTCTTTTTGTGTTCGCTTCATTTGTATGCATATATATTGCTATTTGATGTTATATGTTTCAGATTTATATCATCGACAATGTATAGTATACTTGATGTATTCAGTCGACAATATAACAATGTTTAATTTAGTTGAAGTAACTTCCGAGATTTTTGTTTATACGACTGTCAAAATTCGAAACTTGATTTAATTCGGTTTACATTAAGCTCTATTAAGAAGTTAAATGTGCTTTCGATTCATCTTCAATTACGAGAAACTTATACAGTTTTGATTCGTCGTGCAAAATTTAGAAATCAAAATGTTGGAATTCCAGTTATTTCTATCCTACAATACAAATTCTAATGAATATCGTGATCTATTTGCCATATTTCTACTATGCTTAACCTATTGGAAGTAATTCGAAAAAAATCAGCTTACATAATCATTTTCCTTTTATTTAATGTTGAATATTGATTTTATGTTAACTATATGTAGTACCTGAAAAATCTGTTATTATCCTTGAAGAACAGAAAGTTATTAAAGAAAATCTTTCTGCTAATCTTTATTTTCTTTAAATATTACTACATAAATAGCATATATATATATATCAGTTTTCTTTTTTTAAAATATTAAGATGAAGTAATAGTATCGTAAGCGAAAATTTAAAATTAATATGCTTGTTTAATTAATTGTCGATATGAAATAAACAATCGATTAAAGAAAAAGAGAATTTAATATTAACTTTTCTTACATATGTTGATAATTGACATATTACAAAAACAGCTACAATAAGGAGCTCTTCCCAACTAACAGATCTGATGGTATTTATTATGTCCTGAAAGTTTTAGGTCAATCGGATAACTAAAAATGTACTATTGTGAGAAAGTAACGTGTTTGAACAGAGAGTGTTAGTTCAAGAGGTTCATTTAGTAGACAGAATTCATATTGTTGTTCAATATGTTTAGAAAGTTACAAATAAATATTTGTGTCAGTCATTCTATTTATATTCGTTGATCAAATGAATCCATTAACGAAGAAGATATATCTCTACCGTAAAGTATTTGAATTATTCAATAGAAAGAAATTTTATTGTTGTTTTAGATTATTTAAACAATGATTGAAGGACATCTTTACATATTTCCACTTTTAGTGTGTATACTTGTACCAATCGCTTATT